AATGTGTTGTTCCACATTTGAAATATTGAATTCCTACTACACGTCGGTTTTTCCTAGGATAAAACGATAAAAGTTAAAATTTTCTTCGATTTAAATTTATCCATGATTGCTTGAATAAACGTTATTTTTCATAATAAAAATTGTTTTCTTCTCATGAACTTTAAACAAATTCTAGAAATATTTTTTCTTGCATTCTCTCGCACTGTGAAATAATTGTACCATCTAGAGTTACCAGATGTGATGAGAAATATTTTGCACAATTACACACCATCACGTTACATTTACACACCTTTTTTATTATTAGTTAATAAAAAATAAGATTCTTTACGCTTTTGCGCGAAAGTTTGCCGGAATATTTTTTCGGTAAGTCGCATCGCAGGTTGATCTCAGATCTATTATTTTATGTGTATTTGATTAAATTCAATTAATCAAATATAAACTACAGTTTAAAACGTTAGGGTTTATTTTTAATATGTCCAATGACATTGGAAATCAATGTTATATTTTTACGTATATTATATATTGTTACGTAATACAAACGAAGAACAATGAGCAAAATTGTATGGAACCTGGTCCCCTCCAATAGAAATAATTTTGATTTTATTTGGAAGTCTTTGTTGTCTAGATTAGGATTCTATTTGGAAGTCTTTGTTGTCTAGATTTGTAATTGTTATGACATTGATATATAACAGTAGTCGGATCTGAGTCCTCAGAAGTATTATTCCAAACAGATGAAGGAATTAGCTGTTTTTTGGGTGATAAAAATAATTTAAAAGCCACATAAAAAACTAAAGTTGTTTTTTTACGCATTACCATTTTAAGCATCTTCATCTAATTAAAAATCATTAAAAAACAACGCACTAGCTGTGAGCCGTCTAGCGTGGGTATCCCAAGTAACAAAACTATTAATATTACCTGTATGTGCAGAATATACCGGTGCAGTAATACTGTAGTACCCCGTCCTCTGATTCCAACGTGTAAAAAAAATAGAGTTCTGCTCTTTGGCGCCGTGACTGAATGTGCCAGCGTAAATCCGGCCGGACATCTTAGCCGGTAGTCAAGTGAGTCGTCTTACGAATTTCTCTATAGATCTAGATGAGTTGTAGCCTAATCTTAAGGTTTTCAATGAAGTAGGATTTAAGTGACTTCAACTGATAAGTTGCATTTTGCAGTTGCAAATGGCGTGGATTTTCCTAATTAACAGAAGAACTTCTTTCTTTATATAAGGTAGATCCACTTATTTGCTTCTAGTTTGACAATATCTACTCCATTTCAGCGTTTTCTCTCTAAATAATTGTAAAGAATAATATGATCGCTTTTTGTCTAATTATTCCAGTAGATAAATACCATCTGTATTCATTCAACTTCGCTACAAACAACGATATTTATTAATCTCATTGTTGCAAAAAAATATGTAATTAAGTAAGAAAATTCTATTTTATCGCAAACACTTTTAAAACAGATAACTGTTTCAAAAATGGAGCTGTAGAAAATAGTCTATACAAAAGTTTTTACACAGAAATATCTATCACAGATATTGGACTTGGGAATCAAGTATCAACTATCCTTTAGCAACACGTGCTACCATAAAATGAAAAAAAAAAACTATGTACTTATATCGCTCTCCAGAAGCTTTTTTAAGTAATAAGCTCGATGACTCAATAATTCACTTGTCTTTCAAGTAAAAAGAAAATGCACGCATTCTCTAGCAGTGAATTCCAGGTACAATTTTATATTCTGCATTCCAAACTCCAATGAACTTTTTTAATTTGACTAAGTAGGTACATGCAGGTAGTTAAAACAAAGTTAAGTCAATCTAAGCATAGTCATTATCCTTTTCGTTAAGTTGGAGGTTACTTCAAAACGTCAAATTTTATCGATTAAAAATATGGTTTTGTAACCTGGCTGCACTGCTGACTGTACCCGTCCAAGAGATAGGTTTCTAATGTCAGATGTCTTTTTACATTCTGCCTCTCAGACTAAATAAAAACTTTAGTTTAAATTCTTACGATGCAATAGATATTGACTATATTGTATATCTAGTATTTTGCAGAGGTAACAACACATTAGTTTATAGGTATTTTATTGATGGGTAAGCTTTACCTAATTGAAAATAAATTGTGGAAATTCGACATTGTGTTGTGTACTAATTACCTAACTAACCTAAAGTGCGGCTATGTATACTTAGCTATTGTAGGTAGGTAGGTACCAACAATAATATTGTGAGCCACCTGTTAAATAACGGAAGTAGATTATCGAGTATGATACAAATTCATTACCTACCAACCATGTAATAGGTATGTAGATGCTGGATTAAGGTTATTTACCTATTACATAAATAAAATTATTTGAATTTTCTTATATATAGCGTTCAAGTAATTAGTGATAAAATAGATGTATGTTCCTTAATCACAATAAATCTAAATAATCAAAGCCTACTAGGCAAGGTAGGTCTGACTACGGGTTCGATGAATATAATAGGGCACACAGCCAGTCGGTGTCGCCTCAGCTTTCTCCCAAAAACGTGGGCGAAAGAGACGAGACATCGTGCTCTCATTGAGTAAATACTCCATGTTTACAGTACTTCGCTCGTATCTGCTCTCCGATAACCGACACCGAAACAAAATATATATACCGATACACAAATCGAAGGGCAGCGGACACGATAACGTCTGTTTACATTACAGGTAAACGACGACGTTCGTTCACTAACTGCATAGGTGTTCAAGGCTCAATATCTCACAATAAAATCATTCGAGAGCGATAATAAACGTCTTCTCCGGCCAACACACGACGTACAACTACACTCCAGACAAATTACTCATTGTTGACATTGAAAGTTACGCAAGTCTCAAGAATGCAAGTCTGCAACTTTCGTACATCCTAAAAGCAGTCGTACATATTTCCCGGCCCAGTATCCCGACTGTCGACATAACAAAAGCCGGGTGAAGCCGCATTTAAGACGGTCCCCCTTACCTCTGTCGCTCGTACATATCCTGCGAGGACTACACAAGACAGCCATAGGTATATCCTCAAATGCATCACAACAAACGAGTGGGCCCCGTCGCTCCTGCAGTATTACACAATTAACACAAACTACACAGCACCAAACAGATTGCTGTTATGTTATTAACACTAGCACCATACACTCGGGCACAACAACTCGCGAAACGACATCCAGCGTCGATTTGCGATTGTAGTAAACTGACTTGCTTAACGCTTGAAGCTCGCTTCACTGCGATAGGGCTCCCCGCTAGCGAGAGGGATCGCCGCGTGGCTAACTTCACTTCAGACATAGCGCGCGTTCGGTCGTTCATTCGCCCCGCGCGCCCACCCGCTAGTCGATGGAGCTCTCGATGTCACGCACACCGATTTATCACGCTTCTCGCAGTCGCAGTTCACCAAAAAGTAATAGCATTAGTTCCCGTCCAAGCACACCGTGTACGAGTTCGATCGACCGGGGTCGAACCGAGCCCACATAGCGACGAACTTGTTCTAATTTTGGACGTATAAGTCGGACAGAAATATATTCTTGTTAGGGCGAACGACCGTATCTATACTTCACTAAATATGCACCAAAACAAAGACAATTCATTAGAAATTGGTTAATAAATGGGAGGTACAGAATAATCAGCCAAAACGCTCCTGCTCACGCTTTTGCGGTTATAATGGACCTAAAAGAACATAGATAACCTATTCGTCGTATGATAATATATAAGCTACTTAAAATAAATATTATCATTTATTAGGATATAAGTATAGTTTTCACAGTAATATTCACAAGTTTACTGGATCAAAATCCATAGCGATAAAGCTGCCTTTCACCTATTTCACTGCTCGTGTTAAAGCTGGGGCTGGATGGCGCTGAATAGAGAAAAATGAGCTTGAATCGTTGTTGGTAACTGACGAGAAACCAAAAGCTCTGGTTGTATACCTATCGATTGTAATTCTGATCTTATTGTCTTAACCAAAACTGAAATTCTGAGAATACAGGGACAATAGGGTATTAAAATTTAAGCACCCCAATTGTAAATTTATTTTCGTAGGACAGATGAATACCGATAGTAAATAACTATGTAATGATTACTAAATTTATGATACAAATTGTAATGCTATCACACGCATCGAAGTCCAGAATGATGGAGATATCTAGCTAACAGAAATATCATCTCTAAAAAAATGTTCGCTTTACCCTCTAGGCATAATTAGATACATTCCTAGAGTGACGGGGACGTCACTACAAAAGAACACGTAGAAAAAGTTTTATAAACTATCCAAACGGAACAAGTCCATATTTAAAAAAAAACTATCCAATCTAGAATTGTCAATTGTTCAAAAATATCTAAGTTTGCATCAAAGTGACATCTATATAAATGTGAAGAAACTAGAGCTCATAAGCAGAATCGATAACTGATAATGTCCCATATATAGTCTAGATGGCGTTAAAAATGAAGTCTACCATTTCGAGTTTATAGTCTTATCCTACTAACCCACAGAACAGATAAAAAGCTTTTTATCTGTTCTGTGCATTACCAATAGGTACACCTATTGGTTATATAGTTTATTATAATAGAAGAGGGTTTATAACGGACCACGCGGGCAAGCCGCTAGCGGAAACCTAGTAATTATAAATGCGAAACTTTGTTTTATGTATGTTTTACTTTTTCAGTTTGAACAAAGAATTAAAATTTATTTTTAGTTCTCCATGACTAAGATTATGCAGTCTGTTTTACCCAACAAGTTTCAAAAATTGATTCAGCCAAATAGAACATAGGAAGAACCATAAATACTGTAAAATATTACTACTGTAAAATTGCCGAAATAGTGTCTCCTGTTAAGTGACAGGGCACAGGGCATTACTTGTGTATGAATTGCCTACCTGTATTAACAATGGTTGACAATGTATTTTACACATTTTTATAAAGGAAAGGAAGGATGGAATACATGCCGATACCATCACTATATCCTTCAAGGCTAAGAAAAAAGATTTGCTTCTTATTAGATATTTTACTTTATTGCAACTTCAGTCTAGAAACTAAACAAAATAAAAGCAGAAGTACATTTAATGTTTTACACATAATTATTTAAGTTCAAATAAGTTTGTCAGCAATATTCTGTATTGCAAACAAAATGTATCATTTATTTATTATCCATTGAGGACATCTGCTCTTTGTGGCGCCTGATGGCATCCTCGTGGCGTTTGATTTGATCTTCATGGAAAGAAATCTCCTTATGTAAGTGAGACTTCAAATTTGCGATTTGCTCCTTTTGCTGAAAAATACAATAGCTTTTATAATTTATGTTTAATTTGTGCGTCATATAAATAAAAAATGATTTGAAATGTGCACATACAGCTCTTTTATATTATACCCCATTTGAAGTAGTAGTTTCAAATTTGTACTTTGTGTTGTTTTTCAATTTGTATTATAAAACATTGCTAATTCAAAAATTTCGTAGGTGTAGGTCAATGAGAAGTGGGGGATGCTTGTAACTTGGTCATGGCTTGGCTATCATCCCCAAGTGAGGGTACACCATGGCGGTTTTTGTGGGTAGACCTCCGGGAACACAGGTTCCCACACACCATCTGTTACTTGCCAAGCAGCAATATCAATTTTGATTCCCTTCAATGTTAAAATATGTCTTTTTTCAACAAAAACAGCTAGCCGAACTTTCTTTTATGTTAATTAAGAATTTTAATTTTTAATCCTTGGGGACTTGAGTATATCATTTTAATTTTGACTCTATATCTTTATGCATTCCAAATTTAAGTGTTGACAGACAGATTATAAAGTGATTCTATAAGGGTTGCCTTTGAGGTATGGAAGAGTAAATACACCAAAATAGAACATTACAGATATTGCCAAATAGGAAAGACAATTCTTTTGTAACCACCATTAAACCAATATCTGCTTTTATTCAATAAAATAAAAATCTAAAAACCTTTCAGAGATAACTATAACCTAAATAATTGTTAATGCAAATACTGCAATTGCAAATTTTAAACAACTTTTTTACACACATATCAGATACCTACAAAAATTCCATCTTGCAATGAATTTTGGACTTTAATATCAATAGTGCAATGCTAAAAATAGATTAAAGATAAATGTACTTTCATAGAAACCCGATTATATGGTCTACAGTACATGTGAACAACACTTACTTTTTTATAAAAGTACTCATCCTCACGAGCTGCCTCCATCTTGCCGAAGGCACCACCAGCCTCTCTAATGGATCCACCACCACCGCCACCCTTGCCAGCGCCAGAGCCAGGCTCACCGGAATACATTCTGAAACAAAGTTATCAAATATATTTTTATTTGAAAACAAGAACAAAACTTTTAATTTAAATTTCATTAACATTCTTTTTTGGCTGAACAAGTGTTTTCCCAACGAGCACCCATAATAAGACCATGCAGTTTAGCTCTCGACCTCAAACTTAAATGAAAACAATATACATAAGTGGATGAAATTAATTGTTAGTGTTACTGTTCATACTAAATAAGAAATCTGACATTATGGTAACTATTAAACAGATAGTCATGCTCTTACTACATTTGCTGAAAATGCTTCAATTAGTATAGCTACATTTTATTAAACCTGATATATGTTGTTGTTACTTATGGCATAATATATTGAGGAAACTCCATTAATTGTAATTAATTAAACATCTGTGAGGTCCTACAATAGGCTAAAAGTCATAGTTAATGAATAAAGATAAATAAAATGTTTGTACACCTTTTGCGTTTTATTTTGTGTGCAGAGTATTGGCCTTTAGCCAAGCACTGAGACGTAGTAAATTTGGCTTAAGTACAATTTAATAAACAAATGCAATACAAATAGTCTTATAAACACTATATGCCAAACTGTCATTTTCTACCATGTGACCGAGATATAATATCTTGCTTTTGTAAAATGTAGTCCATACAAACAATGGCTTTAGAGTATTTGTTAATGATATTATAAATTGAGTGTAGGTCTGATAATTTAGGGTACAGTCATGATTATACAAATTCAGGTTAAACACCAACTACAAGTACAAGATAACCCATTGCCTGAGGGAAACGTTAAGTAGTTAGCTATCTAGGTAAAAGCTGAGGAAATTAGCTTTTTAGAGTGACGAATGCCAATAAGTTCTGGAAAGAGTGAAAATCAAAGTAGGCATTCTATTTGTAAGGATTGCGTAATCTGCATGCCGGCATTACCGGGTATTTAATAAACACTCACCTTAAGTTTGGAAGAGCACGAACTACTAGCTGACGAGATCGATTAACGAAGCTCATTTTTTATTTGGCTAAATAGTTTTGCGTTTTTAATTTCTTTAGAATTTTGACCACGACTCTATATTAAAACAGATAACAAACTGACAGTGACAGACAATTGACAGTTGAGCGATTCTGTACAAATCCAAACCCGAATTCGAATTCACTCATGTGTCCGATTTCACATCATTTAGAACAGAAATTTTATCGATTCCATTTTTCGTATAAAAATACAAAACAAAATTGCTCGTTTATACATATCTCAGATATTATATTCTTTTATAATTTCACAACTCATTTTAATTATGCCACGAAACATTATTACCAATTCAGGATGCCGCTTTTTGAAGTAAATTCGGACAACTGAGTGAATTCGAATTCGGGTTTGGATTTTTACTAAGCGCAGGAGGCCTACTCGCTTTCTCGAAAACGAAATTTCGTTTACGAACGAAATTAAAACGAAATTTCGCATGTAACGCTACTCTTTATCATTTTCGTATATACCAACGAATGTTCGATTCCAAAGACAATTTTCGTGATCGACCTTGGAGCGAATGGCGTTATTGGATTTCTTATAATGTCAATTCCGGTTTTTACCGTTACTTGAAATATAAAATATTAAACAATACATATATTTCTTTTAAATAAAATTTTAGGCTAAACATTGTTTAAATATAAAATATTATAATAATATAACGAAAAACTAAGTATTTTAATGAATTTTATTTTTCGATGCAACTAATCAAGACACTATAAAGAACTCTTTTATCAACAGTATTAACCGACATATTTAAAGACAACCTTTCATTTATACGATGGCTATAATCAACGTACGGCAATCTTAAACATCTGTATAATATAAACGATTCTCATCCCGCCAAAAGTTTAACAAGTTTCACCAAACTGTTTAGTGTTTACTAATATAAATTTATAATTGTGAGTTCCGACATTTTATCTTGACAAGTCAGTAAAAAACTTTATAAGTAAGTATAAAACTAATATTTAGATTTTCGGCACAAAAAAAGGTTTTTCGTAATAAATTTACTTTTTATCAGTCATATTTTTCAGTAATAATGGCATAGTCTATATGCCTCGTAAAATCTGTAATATTCTATAGACATAATTCATAAATTCATAAATATACATAATTCTATAGATATTTATTCACAATTCATACATAAAGCCAAAATAAATAATAAACTATTAGGTACTCACTGTCTCTTAGTAAGATTCCTTTCAATTTGGTTTTGAGGGAATAATATATTTTCTTATAATACCTATCAGGTGAATTGAGGGCAGTCCTAACCTCCTAACACTGCGAAACTGTTAAGATACATACGCATATCTTGATGACGTCACAGTTTGTGGAAGGGACAAAAATGAGCATGATGCAAATTTAGATAAATTTATGGATGTCGTGGTTAAAAACAGTCTCACTCTTAATAGAGATAAATGCATATTTGGCTCTGCTATTATCGATGTACTTGGCTATACGATTGAAAATAATACTGTCAAACCCGATAAGGATCGACTTAAGCCTTTACTGTTACTTCCCCCACTTCAAGAAGCTCCTTCATTAAAAAGAATAGTAGGTATGTTTGCTCATTATTCGAAATGGATAAGCAATTTTTTAGAAAAAATAAATGCTCTTGCTTGTACTCGTATTTTCCCCTTATCAGAAGAAGCAAACAATTCTCTTGAATCAATTAAGAAAGATATAGCTAATGCTGCCTTAGCTGCTATGGATCATTCGGAAATTTTCACGGTAGAAACTGATGCCTCTGGATACGCATTGGTTGCGACTCTATCACAAAATAAGCGTCCGGAAGCCATTTTCTCTCGTTCATTAACTTATTCGGAAAGAAATCATGCGTCTATAGAAAAAGAAGCCTCGGAGATCGTAGAAAGCATGAGGAAATGGCGTCACTATTTCTCGGGAAAACATTTTATTTTGGTAACTGATCAACAATCCATTTCATTCATGTTCAATCAAAAACATAATAGTAAAATTAAAAATTAAAAAATAGAGAGATGGAGACTAGAACTATCATGTTTCAAATATGATATTATTTAACGACTTGGAAAGGAAAACATAGTTCCGGATGCAATATCAAGAGTTTGTGCTAAAAATTCTTCACGCAAAAACTTATGTGAACTGCATAACTCATTATGCCACCCAGGAATCACACGAATGGCCTATTGGATACGTTCTGAAAACTTACCATATTCTCTTACTGAAATTAAAGAAATGACTGCGAACTGTTTGGTCTGTTCAGAAATAAAACCTAGATTTGCTAATACTAAGGAAAAACTCATAAAACTGGAGCGCCGTTTGAAAGATTAAGCTTAGATTTTAAAAGCCCTCTTCCATCAAACAGTCACAATAAGTACATATTGACAATTGTTGACGAATTTTCAAAATTCCCTTTTGCTTACTCTTGCTTTGCAAGGATATTTCTTCATCCACAGTAATAACCTGTCTTAAAGATCTTTTCTTCGCTATTGGAACTCCTTTATACCTAATTCAGACCGAGGTTCATCATTTATGTCACAAGAATTTAATGATTTTCTTTTAAGAAATGATATCTTGCAGCCGAACAACCCCTTATAATCCCGAAGGAAATGGTCAAATGGAAAGGCTCAATGGAACTTTATGGAGGTCGATGCAAGTGTGTTTACGATTTAGAAATCTTAGCGTCCAGCATTGAGAACATGTTCTTTCTTTGTCTCTACATTCTATTTGTTCATTATTATGCACAGCTATTTCTACGCCACACGACAGAATGTTCAGGTTTCCGAGGCGTTCTGGAAATGGAGTTTCTTTACCCAACTGGCTAACTATTCCAGGACCATATTATTAAAAAAAAAATGTGCGGAACAGCAATTATGACCCGTTAGTAGAAGAAATAGAATTATTGGAAGCCAATCCGAGTTATTATCTCATACGTTTTGCTGACGGGAGAGAGGATACTGTTTCCAATCGGCATTTAGCACCAGTATTATCTAACATGCCTGATATAGAGAATTTTGATCATACAGACACCCAAAATTCTGGAGTTGATAACTTAAGCAGTGATAATTCAGATTCAGGTCGTCCTGTGCGTGAAAGACGACCTCCAGCATATTTACAAGATTATGATTTACAGTAAAAAAAATAATAATAATACGGACATGTGAATGTGGTATATTCATAGATGAATGTAGTAGTATATACTAGATATACTCATTGTTGTTTATGACAACATAATGATTGACTTATATTTTTCCATACAAAATGTATCGTTACTTATAAAGTTGAATTAATTGATACGAAAAGATACAAACCATTAGTCTCAAATGGTTTGTATCTTTTCGTATCACCAATGACAGTCATTTCCGTTCCTTTTAACTAAAATATAAAAAAAACTGAAATTTGAAAAGTTCGAAACTTAGATAACAATACAAATACGAAAAAGTACAAATGGAATATGAGTTGTTTATTGAGTTTTGAAAACTAAATTACTTTAAAACATGAAAGAGATCCGGATGTCATGGAGAAATCAAGAACGTACCGTAGCGACATCTAGTTTGATTTCGGGAACTAATGTTTTTTTTTAATACTTCCTCATTACAAGGTTTAAATCTTTTCAATGGTATTTTCTATAATAATTCAAATTTAAAGAGACTTTAAAATTTTTGGGTTCGTGAATGCGGCACACTGTTTAGTTCTATAGTTTAAGTTTAGTTTTAAACGTTCACAGATGTCAATAACGTCTCATCCATAAAGTGATCTCATCTAAATGTAATAATTATTTTTAGTATTTTTAACTAAAACCATACTAGTATCAATCAAGTGTATGAAATGACACAATTGCAATGTCGATCAGTCGAGATTGCGTACGAGTGTAAGGGGGCAGATTATGTCTAATTAAATGAATACCTATGTTCTGGATGTAGTCATGAAATACAGTATTTATAACACTATACTTCAGTCCATGTTTAATCCATGTCCAATTTTGAGAGTTCTTGTGAATGAAATTATATGACACAAAATGTGGGATTTTACTATTAGATTTGAGCCATGTCTCATTAAGTAAACAGATAATAGATTTTGTAATAAGGCTTTTTTGTTATGTAAGCTGTGTATATTATAATAAATGTAATGAATTATCCATTCAATTAGATCATAATAAAAAATCAGAAATCAAAATTATTATTATTATATTATAAAAAAATGAATAATTGATAAATATGTTTCTCTTATTATTTTAGTTGTAAACTACTATCATTATTGCCTAAAGCTACTACTAATTTTACCATGTCATTTATAATTATATCGTCATTTACAATTTGCTCTCTTTTAACTGTATATTGCTCTTCATTTTTTTGGCAAAGTTGGGATATCTCATTGAGGTGGTGTACTCCACAGAACAATATACTCTACGGTGTACTCGCAGCAGTGGCATAAGATTGTGGAATATATTTCTTCTTCTCTTCAATCATTTTCTTCTTTGTGGGATAGTCCCTGGATTGCCGATATTTTTATTTTTTTATTCTAGATAGGCAAGCGCTTGACCACAGATCACCTGATGGTAAGCAATGCAGTGGTCTAAGATGGAGCGTACTTGCCTAGAAGGAACCGATTCACTCTTGACTTGAAGAGTCCCAGATTGTATTTGCCCGGAAACGGCGAGTCTGGTAGCGAATTCCACAGCTTCGCAGTTCGCACGATGGTTGCCGATGGTTGCCGATGCAATTTATACATATCACTTCTTCTACATCACATTCCTTATATGAATGTTGGCGTGCACATGAAGAACAATTTTGAACTCCTTTACAGACTTGCTGAATGATTGTACTTAAGACATTTAAAACATTGTAGCACTGGAGGTATATGTGTGTGTATTCGATATCTGAATAATCTTATAAAGACGTACTGAGGTAAGTATGTGACGCTAAATATGACTGGTACTGAGGTTAGCTGTTGTAATTTTTTTATTGATATTCTATGTTCTGGATGGCTTCATAAATCATATCTTTTAGTAATCATATATATATCCAACAAAAAAACATCCCCATTGCTTCCGTTGTATATAAATAGTAGTTTCTAGTTTGTTTTATTAAAAGTTTTATACTAATTTTTGTTGTCTTCATTTCTGTTTCGGACGTCTGCCCAGCTCCGAGTTATCTTTTTTTCCATTCTTTTGGTCGAGAACATTCGCTGAAAAAGTCTCCATCGCTCTCCGACTGCATTTCCGCTCAAAATTAGTCACAACTAGCGTAATAAAACCAATAAATTATTAAATATAATTTTATGGTTTGCAAATCGCGATTCCAATCTTCCGCCAAAAATGAGGAAGTATTTAAAAAAAAGGCACTCAAAAGCCCCTAATTAGATGGCGATTCTACCAAAAGTTGATTTTTGCAGAAAACTAATGGACCAAAGATAGTCAGTCATTTGCGTTCCTTTTAACAAACATATAAAAAACTGTATTTTGCAAAGTTCGAAACTTAGATTACTTGATATTTTTCTGAATTTCTCACAAGTATTCTGAATAATCCCTCAAAAGAATATCTTGCTTATGGAGTAGTACTAAATATACACATTTTTTGTGATTTCGGTCCAACTCACTTTATTTTTATGTTATTCCTTAAAAATCAACTAAAAAAATAGAGCTACAGTAAGTTAGGCATCATCAATTTATTATGTAAGATGATTTTATTGTGGCCAGTTTTAAGTCCCTCCCTCTTCAAAAAGTATGACAAGCAGAAACCTTTCTCCCTATTTCATAATTAATAGTTAGCCTTTTTATATTCCCGCAGCAGGAGCTCGGGCCTTCCTTGTGGATGGTTAAAGAGGATGGGTCATGACCCTCCATGCTGGCCCAATGTGGATTTGAGGATATTGACGACTGCAAATTTAGTCGGGACCAACGGCATAACGTATCTTCCGAAGCATGGAATAACTCGAAATGATATTTTTTTGGTGATCCACCCTATAACCGACCCTTACGAAAGTTGCTAAATAAAACCATCGCGAACCGCGGCGCCTATCCACTACGCCACCGAGTTACTCATTTCATAATTGTTACCTAAGAATTTTAAGGAAAAACAAAGAGTTTTGGTCTATCAAGAATCCCTTAAACTCTTAAAATTATTTTATAAATTAAAAACACGACTGCCTAAATGAAAAGTTCTCATTGTTCCACAGAATGGAGCGGTCCCTTAATTGCAATAAGAATTTAGACGTACGAGAGACAAGACGTACCTAAATAAATAAATGATTCTGTTTTTAGCCAAGTCATAATTCTTGTAATAAGAAACAAGTTGTTTATTTTATTTTTAATTCCATTTTGACAGTCGAGGTTTGACACGAAACGAGCAAAAAAATCACGTTTGATGCATGGCAGCCCTATTACATATTTATTTTATTCTGATTTTTAGTATTTGTTGTTGAAGCGGCAACAGAAAATCTGTGAAAATTTCAACTGTCAAACTTTCATGAGATACAGCCTGGTGACAGACAGACAGCAAAGTCTTAGTAATAGGGTGCCTGATAGGGACGAACCCTAAAAACAGTATTTAAATTAGTAATGATAGCTGACATAACATGGCCGCCAAAATAGCTAACGCCATCTATTTTGTTTTCTTTATTAGTTACCCCACTTCTAGGATGCCCTTAAGGCGCGTTATAACAAGCTTTATGAATTAAATAACCACCTGAATATTGACACAAACGTCCTGAAAAGCAAAGCTACTTACTGATTAGGTATTAATTTGTATATTTGGTCACGCACACCCTCCGCATCGCAGATCAAACCCCCATAAACATTGTGCTTCTCATTTATCATGATGACATACTTTGTATACATAAACATGAACCCTGTTAGGGCAGGCAATATCTCCCCGGGTCTCCTCGCCCGTTCCAATGCGCGAGGGTACACTGTGAAGGGTTTACTTGGTATACTTGCTGCATTTTGACCCGGGGGACGACCGCCTAACGCTCTAGCTTTATAACTTAGGCTAGAGTTAACTGTAGCCATAGAAAACGATACCTTATACGACTATACGTCCTGTTTTACGATATTGACAAAGTACCTTAAAATGACATACAATTGATAAAGAACGATGATCCATCAAGTCCATAACAGCAATTTTATCAACTTATTAGTACATCGAAACACCAATAAAATACATGTCCAAGTAATAAAGAAACATCGTCATAATATTCGCTAAAATGTCGTATCCTAAAGAAAATTAGTGATCTGATCACACTAGCGCCAGAGTATGCTCGTGAACCAATCAAGGGTGCTTCAAGAGTAAGGGAGCTGGTCCATGTAGCTTGAGAGATTAAAAGAATCGTAGCCACTTTTGTCACTGACCAACGATAGTGCAGTAACATATTCCATTTTCGTATCAAAAAAGGCACAGCATATCGCAGCATTTCAACATTAATTTTGTTAATTTCCCATCTCTACATTAAATAGATCAAACCACTTACTCCATTTCCCGTTTCTTGAGCCAGAGAACGTGCTTCAGTTTCTGTTCAGCGATAATTTTGTTTAATTCCGCTGTCTCCCTCATCGCCCTCACAACTTGACGTTCGTCTATCAGTGTTTCCATTTTTAATTGTTTTTCTTCTGATGAATGCCTTGAAAAGTAAAAAAAAAAATATGTATTTGTAAAATGAATTTACTGCTTTAATACCTATCTGTATTAAAGTACTGATAGAAGCAATTCTAACTGGTTACATTAGAGTTATTATGTTATTCGAATTTGATTATATATGAAAACTAGCTTTCCGCCAGCCTTCCTTAAAAACCTTTCTTTTGGATTAACCTATTTATGAAAAAAAAACCGCATAATTATCCGTTGCATAGTTTTAAAAATTTAAGCATACATAAGCATAAAGGGACAGAGAAAGCGACTTTGTTTTATACTATATAGTGATTAATTTTTTATTTAAACAATTTGACAAATAATTTGTTTATTCACACAATTTGAGAATACAATAAATTACACATATATAGACCACTCAATTACACATTTTAGATATTATGTACCTACAATCGCCAAGAGAATGATACAGCTGATTATTTTTTCGTGAAATCAGTGGTGCTTAAATAGGAGTGGGTGAGTTATGTATACTTAATAAAAGTTATTCAGTATACATAACTCACCCACTCCACGTGATCCTAGCACATGATAATATTACATCTTATATCTATATAACTATTATAAGTGTGTAGTATTATAATATATGTGCTATAAATATATTACCAAAAGGTGTTTTATTATATGAAATAGTCATTTAATAAGACACCTTTTGGTCTTTTGAGGTCCCGGGTTTAATTCACGATGTAGAAATTAAACTTCAATATATTGCATCGTTTCGTATCAGTGATTGTGGTACACTAATTCTACGAGAGTACACCCAAAGTTTTGTACAAAGAAATAACATCCAAATAAGGTGTAATTCAAAATGAGAAAATTTTATCATAATCTTAAGAGTTCTGCAGCAGCCAGGTTTATAAAATTTACTTGATAGAAAAAGACGCTATTTTTTATATATTTCTTGTTTTAATATATATCTTTATAGGAAAAATTTATTAATATGCGAGTCATTTTGTGACCGAGGGAATTGTACATCACTTCTATAATAATCGTAATAGTATTTTTGCCGCACAAATCACCATCCTCTGTCCCTATCTACGCGGCAACGAGATAGACAGGAAGAGTCTTTTAACTTTTTGCTCCCTCATAATGACATAGGTACAATATGTCTTTAGTGAAGAGCTAAGCTCTTGCGTACACTTTTCCTTCAAAAGACACCCGTATGTTACTACTCGTACGAATTAAAATTACACCTGATGGCCTATTCCATTACTCCAAAAACAAAATTTCGACAATTTACGAAATGTTAATACGACTCCAAAGAAAAGTCTTTTGGATAAGTTATTTTGCGACAGAGATATGACCTGGCACTACCTTTGATGCCCATTCATTTTAGCAAAATAATCATTTTAGCAAAATTATACGATTTTAATTTTCCGAATATTCGTTTGAGCACAAATATAATCTAGTCCTGAAGTGTCACGTTAAATATATAAAATACAATTCAAAAATGTTTTCAAGAAACTCAAATAATCAAAAGAAAATTTTACTAACTAAACTACGTTATTAATGCATAAAGGTGGTTTACTGGAAGAATTCCTGTAGATGTCTGTGGAACGGGTTCAAGTGCACATTGTTATCTAAATAAGAGTCTTCTGTCATCGCCTCAGCGTTCTTTTTCCCTTGAACACTGTCAGGAGGCGATTCTTCGTTATCTTCGAATTCGTTTGCATCCGAAACTGAAGACTCAGATATAACCAGATGATTCGCAGTATTGATTGATGGACCAGCGACGGCATCCAGATTCATCACCTCTGGTTCACAATCGTTCACGCCACTGCCACTTGGCTCTACAGACATTTCTCTGAAAATTTTAACGAAACAAAATTAAATTGGCGACCTTCATATTTAAAGTGTCGCCATGTCTGAGGTCCCGAATTAGATTCCCGGTTAGGTCAATGTAGGAAATTAATCTTTCTATATTGTCTCGGGTCTAGGCGTTGTGCTACCTTCATTGATTCAGATTTCCTTAATCCAAACGCTTTAGCTAATTATTGGGACCCGAGCAATTTGTTTGATTTTGTCTAATTAATACAATTAAATCGATTTGTATTAAAACACTACAGTTATTTGAGTACCAATATATGTATGTTACCTTACAGCATTGTTAATTTGTAATAAATATAATGTATTACACAACAATCTTATACATTGCTCAGTACACAAATATGTTTACATTGCTTACTCTAAATACCTGTAGTAACCTACGTCGCGCTTAATCGTTTAATATTATCTTCAGGTAGCAATTCTGTTGCACAAATTGTTAGGTTAAGTTATTAGTTGGTTTAGGTTAAGTCATGTTAAGCTTCATTTTCAATTATGTAAATAACTAAAGACCCAGAAGTAAAAATTATCATATTATAGTATACAGGAGTTTAATCATATGAATTTGATTACATCTTACTGCGGTCAAAACAAAACCTAAATTAAAATAATACAGTTTATTTAGTTTTGGAGAGTGGCACAATTGAATTGACACCATTAGTTAATTTCATTTAATACATAACACTTGCTTTATATTTGATCAGTTTTGCATTCCCAATGCTATACTGTATAAATATAGCTCATATATAGCTCAGTAGTTAGAGCAGTCGCCCGCAGTTGCGAAAGGTCATGGGTTCGAATCCCATCTCAGAAAACAAGGGACAAAATGGATTTTTCATCATTTCATTAAGAATACTTGCTCTATAGTTATATATCTTAACCTTATTGTCGACAGAAAAAGGACATAATATCGTCTTGTAATGTTATTAGGCTTATTAAGCTCTTTTTTTTTTTTAAATACAAGTTAATTTATATATTTATTTCCAAGTTTAATAACAAACACAATGTAATTTACAGTAATTTCCATTATGTTTTGTTTTAATAATAAATTTATGGTTTCAGATAATTAATAAATCTATATAATGTAAGCGCTTGTTCCTATAAAGCTTAAAAATTTATTATGAATGGAATAGATCTTTGTAGAAATATGTGAATTAGTGAGCTTTTAGATTTGATTGTCATCCTATAGGCCCGAGCCCCAGCAGATAGTATATTTATATCTGTAATCTTACGTTGTTAAGCAACTAAATACTAGTATCATAAGTTTAAAAAATAAACAATGTAACAACTCACTCATCTAAACGTTCCGCCTTAACTTCGATGTTAGTCGTTAAAACTGTATCGTTCAAATGGTCTTCATCTTTTTTTAGCACGCCATCCTTAATCATATCTAGTATGATACATACGTCCAATGTCTGCCTAGTGAACTTCTCTATATTCGGTCCGACTAATGTTATCTCCTCTCTAGCAATCCGTTTCATATTTTGCCACTGGGTCTTTACTTTCTTGATCGAACTGCCAGAAAATTTATTGCCGAACCGCTTAGTTAACTCACACAAAATTTCATTCCATGCCACATCTTTCTCTTCGGAATAATTCGGTCCATTGTTATTCTTAGTCACTACTACTTCTTTGCGCTCTTTAATTAACTCTAGCAAAAACTTTTTCTCGTCTAGCGACCAATTTGGTGTGCGCGATCTGCGATTGGCTATTTTTCCCATGTTCCGTTTTGCTTCGCGAGGGTCGTGATTTATCTTTTGCAACGATTTGTTGCAAACGATGCACTCGACGTCCAAAATTATTGGTTTCCACATTTAAAACAATTGAACTGCGAAAAATTGAACGTTTGACACGGCGGTGGACAGTTCTGCAGTTAACTGGGGAATGTTTTTTTAAAACATAATTCGCTATGGTGTTCCAAACTATTTCGTTCGATCGTTGAAAATGTTGAATGAAATAAATGAATTTCTCGCCGACATCCATATGGCAATGACTTAAATTGTGTCAGATTAATAATTTTCCTGTAGCTTTTTGTTACGAAATACTTAAAGGAGGTAGCAATCCCACAAAATAAGGATAATTTAATTCCAGTTACCATATATTATTGTAATGGTTTATAAAACTTATTTTTAATAAAAAACACTATAACCTTTTTCACTAGTGTTAAAAATCCAAAAAAGGTTTTAAATATAAAGTCATTAAATAGTAATCTGTGGTTGGCCCTTACCAAACTTGTATTCTTAATTCAAATGTCAATTATTAATTTTTGAGAAAATTAAACTTTACCTACCTCTTAGATATTTTAAGACCGATGCTCCGTGTAAATGATGCATAATTATAAAAGAAAAACCAGTTTGTGTTGGCCTGATTCTTTTAATGGTTCGAAACACATAGTTTGATAATGTTACCGGAGAAAATAAACATTTATCAGATTAGTTAATAAAAAAATCTCATATCACAATGATTAACATGGAATCTTTCATTGTAGTTTTATTTAGTAGGCCCGATGTATATAAACCTATTATTGTAAATAAAAGGTTCTCAAACTATATTACTCGTATAATATGAATAAAAGGAATGAAAAGAACAACCTAAAAAGCAGTGTGGACATGACTGATAAATGCTAATTATTTTATTATTAAATAGGTATCTAAATTTTAAACATTTATATTTGATATTCAGCTTTATATTTTATGGGATTTACTTCAGTTTCCTGTTTTACAGAAAATATAAGTATGTGGTGTAGCCATTGAAATAGCTTATAGGCTTAATCAGATCATAGTTTTATTTTTTTAAATAGTTTTAATATAAGAAAACTATATCTAATCTTCTTATTTACCAATGTATTCATATTGAGGTATAAAATTAGAAGTGTATATATCTCAAATGTTTACAATATTTCCATAAGACTTAACGTGCCTACCGAAACAAGGACGGACTCAAGATAATAAAGTTTTGACCACCCATCATACAAACCGGCACTTACGAAAGTTGCTTAACTTAGACATAGACTATCACTGTATTTGTCTTGTCTAGTCTGTCTAATCACTGTGCCATCGACCTCCATTCTTATATTGAGTATCAATTGTTATTTTTTGCAGATTTTTTTGTTTTACTGGTATAGGTACTATCCTGTCTTGTATCTTGAAGCTTGAAGAGAGCTAGGCCCTTGCGGGGATGTAGTTACTGGTGTCAAGTTCCAATATAAGAGTGATATTAATAACAATGGTACATATATGGATTCTTTTTTTTTAATTAAAATTACATCTAAACTAATATTACAAAGAGGAAAGACTTTTTTTTTAGTTTGTGTGTAATGAATGAACCGAGAGACCATGGATTGATTTTAAAAATATATCATCACTATAAAGTGACATTACCGACGAGTGTCATTAGGCTAAATTTAGGCAAACTTTATCCAATCTAGTTAAGCTTTTTTAAGCAATACGACGTTCTAAAACACCTAATTCCATTTTAAAATACTCTTTCTTATATTCTAGCTAAGTTAATTAACATCAAATTTTGTCGAATTTCCTTAAAAAAGAAACAAATAAAGCTCACGAAACTGAAATGGTTTTTGAAGCAACAAACTTTCATTATACAACCTTGACTTTAGCTATTACATCACAGAACACTAAAAAAACACTACACTGGATCTAGTTTTCTTGTCTGATAGCAATTTCAATCATATAACCTAGTTTTATAAAGAAAATTACCAATAGAGTCTTTGTATCTGCCGTGTTAGAAGACAGTTTGAGCGAGTCAGCAGGCGGCGACTGACGCTGCTCTTGCTACTTTAACGAAACCATAAACAATCAATGAAAAACTTTTTTGTATTTTTAATACGTGCTCTTGTTCGTTGTTTTTGATATATTAGTTTAATGTGAAGTGTTATTTGGATTGGATATTGTCTATGTAACAACAGATTACATATCCCTGCCAGAGGCGAGGTAAGTTTTTTTCTGTGTTTTATTCCACGAACAACTGAAAGTTTTAGGTATAATTAAAATCTCGTAGAAAAGTTATAAAAATATTTTTCGGTTTAATATCGTGTATAGAAAAAAAAACTAGTTTAAAATATTACTTAGGCTATAATATAGCCTATATTATATACGGTTAAATACTACTATTTGGTACTATTTGGCTTAGTGATTTTTATGCAAAGTGGATGAAATAACAGACTTAATGCCTTTAAGAATTTTATATAATCCGTTATATAGTCGAATTAAATCTGTTTTACATAAAATATTTTTATTTTATATCTGTTTTTAATGCATCTTAACTCCGTTAGCAATAATTTTAAGTTTATGACAATACATATTGTGAATCATTTTCATATTAAAAAAATCACTTGTTTCGTAAGGTGAAATTTCATTAACGATTATTAAAAAAATATGGAAATATTAAGTTGTTGAGAAGTGATTTAAGCTCAAATATTCAAGTTTATTCAGAGCCTTATTCTCAAAGATTTTTTTTTTAATCTATTGCTATTGATAAAACAACCAAAAAAATTTTATCTTAACTTGAAGCTTTTTGCTTTTTTTAGTTACAAAAAATTAATTGTTAATAGTGGACTTGCCCATAGTACTAGTTTCAAAATGGGAGATATGTCAAGCTCCATGCTATTAACTTATTTTATTACCCATCTATTAGAAATGTACTCCTGATAAACTTTGTTGGCATTCATTCTCTTTGTACCAAACTGCCTCCGCATCAGCTCCAAGTATCCATTACAAAAGTATCTATAACAAATAGATGAAATGGTGTACTAAAAAGTTTATTAAAAATATGACTACCGAACTGGTTTATTTAGCTCCATTACTTTTGGTTCCATTTTTTTTCTAGTAATAGTACATAATTTATATCACATGGATTGATATATTCTCATGAGACAGATGATGAAACTGGTGTCTGATACCTAAGTTTTGTATATTTACATCAGACTTTGGGTGCTCATTGGAAGTATCCTTGTATCTTTGTCAAATAAATAATTTATTAAGGTTCTTTTTATAATTAATTAATAATAAAGCGAACATTCAATGGATTTACACAATTTATTATATTCTTTACGCAGTCTATTTATAACTTACATATAAACACTACAAATATTTTGGCCGAAATTAGTTCTGTAGGGCTAAATTTTTTAATTATATATAATATGATTTTTTTTTAGTGAAGATAGTTGGAAGGCGTGAAAAATAAATGGCTAATATATACCTTGAGGAAACTTTTCATTTCCTTTGACCACACGGGTAAATCTAACGGCCTATCCTATTAGTACCTACACCAACAAAAATTCGGGATATTTGGTATCGTTTTTGTAATTTTCACAAAATCATATCCGTGTAGATTGTCTGTGCATAAGAGGCAGTGTCAGGTCTTACCTCTGTTGCATCATAAATTAATGAAAAATTAGTTTCTTTAGCGTCGTATTAGAGCATCGAAAATAGACGAAATTTTGGATAAACAGACTAGGTCTTCTGTGCGTATCAGTTTGCAGTATTATATGTAAATTGCATAAGCTGAGAAGTCAGGGTAGGTCACTAGTTCAATGCTAAGGTAATCACAACCATCACTAATATATCTTATTATGAAGCACTTTTCGTGACAAATAGGGTGTAGACAGTCAAGTAATTAACTTAGCGCACTTATCAATGCTTTTCCTGACTTGGATACTTATGTAGATAATCCTAAGAGTATTATTATGAAACTAGAAGTAAGTAATTTAATATACAGATAATTAATTAATTGGGTTACCCCGTTTAGTTATGTTAAAAAAAAAAATTGATATTATCATTATGTGTGTGATGTTAGGGGGTTCTTAAAAATTAACAAATAAAAAAAGATTGTTATTCGTTTTTTCTTTCGATTCTTACGTAATTATTCATTAAAGAATTAATTTTTGTTCTTTTTTTTGCATAAAGAGGGGAGAGGATCGAAAACTAGCAAAAATCAGTTGAGAAAACGTTTAATACCAGGCGTATTAGGCGTATAGGACTGAATCCGGTCCAGGATACCCCGTGCGTTTAAGTTCATGTATTTTACTAGGCAAATTCATTAATTTCACAGGTATACACACACCAGACGTTGTACTAAGGGGCCGTCCCTTAATCACGTGATGTTTTTTTCAACATTTTTGACCCCCCTCTTCGTTGGTGATACATGGTGAGGTTTAAGACTACCTCTCTCTTCCACCCTAATCACGTGTATTTTTTAGTACCAACAAAGGATTTAATTTATACCGTCGCTTTTTTGTTTAATAATCGCGCGTCTAGGAAAAAATAAATACACGTGATATTATTACTACACCTCCCACCCCCATGTGAAATTTCGTGATTTCTGACGAACCCTCTTTCGAGCGTCACGTGATTAATGGACGGCCCCTAATATTATAAATGCGACTGTAAGAGGATGTATGTTACTCTTTCACGCAAATATTAATTAGCGGATTCGGATGAAATTTGCTCTACGGATAATTCTAAACCAGTAAATTCATCCCTTCTTATCCCTTTAAATAGTTCCCAAGACACCACGCGGGCGAAGTCACTGGCGCAAAGAAACAAACAAAATATAAGGAATAGTGTCACATGCCTGCGTCAAAAAGGCATTTCAGCATTTATCAAATTCAAATTGAATATAATTTATTCAGTCTAGGCTGTTACAAGCACTTGTGAATGTCCAATACCACGCCATCGGTTCGCAAATATACAATGGAAGACCTTGTGCTGAGCATAACCGGTATCATCATGAATCTATCAGTAGAACTGATGCTGATTTGCAACTATGTAGATTCTTTCCTCTTTTTACATTTGGA